CCGGTACACAGTTAACACAGTTAGAATAATGTGCCAATAAATAATGCGAAATAAACACATATGAGCATACAAATACACAAAGAATAAAACACGCCTCGTAATGTTAAGAAAATTATCTGAAATCTCCTTCCCTTCGTATCTGTCAATCCTTTATATACATGTAGAGTAAGACGCTTCCAGAAGGGCTTATGACGTGTTGTTTACATATCTCGGGTTAAGGAGTACATTCCAGAAGGTACCCGGAGACATTATACCCAATGCGTAATTGGAAGCCGATTGTAAACAAGATACTTCAAAGAGATTTAGCCACGCCCACAACAGACGTTAGTGTCTGCTAGGCTGCTAGGAGTGTCCTGTGAGGTCGAGGAAAGTTCACGCACAGGAAATTGTGCTACATAACAGACCCTTTCCCCTTGTATTTTTAATAGCAAAATTGCTCTCAATATGTTACAAGGAAATTTAGATTGTTAAAATAGAATATTAATTTTTAAAGGGATTTTATCTAATTTGCACCAAATTAGGAATGTGCAAGACCCTACTCCATCATACCCCCAACATATTCACTGACATTTCCTTTTAATGCTTACATGTTTCTTACATACTCTAGTGGGATTCCTCTTTGGATAAAGTGCATTCAAGAGTCCAGATTATTATATTTATCTGGATGGGCTTTGGGTAAGGATGCTAAGTATTTGAAAATTTTGAAAGAAATGTGTTCATTCTGGAATGTAATTGACTAGGAGAGAGGCTCCCAGACTGTATCCTGCTGCACCCTGATGTGTTTAAAGATTAGCAGACCTTAGGCAAAACCATTGCTCACTTATTAAACAGCTGCATAAATCTTTATAATTATCAGGTGGGTATGTTTTACTAGCTCTCGAACTTACTTGGTACTTTGCTAAAGTAGCTCTTGGTTTTGTGCAGCCTTTGTACTGTGTTAATGTTAAGTCATAGCAACTAAACATTGTTTTGATAAAGTCATGTGAATTTATTAAGGTAATCTTCTTGTTCATAGTTTGAAAAATGGATTTTTTTAAAAGTGTTATTTTACAGTCCACTAAGAATGTGGCATAGGGGAAATTGGGAAGACCTGGGTGGTTACAGCGAAAGGACCTGTGACCCCAAAAAGCTTGGGAGCCTCTGGACTAGGCTATTTAAAATTCATGTACCAGCAACACTACAGGTAGGTGAGTGGGTAATCTACAGCTTACCCTCATTTATTTTATTTTGTAACCTAATATAGCCATTTAAAATAGTATTATAATAAAAAAATCTGTCAATTAATGAAATAGTATCAAAATCTCAAAACAGGCAGGTTGATTCATGAGCGGTCAATATTTTCTCCAGAACTATTTGAAAAAAAGATTATTCCAACGGAGTGCTCCATGACTGTATTTGTTATTTTTTAGATTAATTTTTTTCTTAAATTTGGAGCTCAAAGCAGTATGGTTTTAGTTTTGTCATTAAAACTTTTAGAGAGCATTTTCATTAAAACTTTTAGAGAGCATTTTCATTAAAAATCTAATAGAGCCAAAAATTATATGCATTTTATTTGATCTTTAAGACCTTTTATCCATACCTCAATTGCCACAACACTGTACAGGACTTGGTCTAGCTTTGAGACATTAAGGATTTATCAAATAAATAGGATTTTTTTCTATTTAAATTAAAACTTGAAATGCTTTTTAACTTTATAAAATAAGTATGTAAAGCACCTTGACAGAGGGGAAGGCCCAACATTGTTTTTTTTTCCATTGAGATTTATTCTAAAGGGATTCTAGCTGGAAAATCTAAATGGCAATCTAAATTAGTGAAACATGCATTTAATTCCCTTTGACTGGGAAACTTTCATCTGAATGCATATATTATACTAAGTTTACAAAGACTAGGCGGGTAAATTAGATCCTTTGACTAGGTTTTATAAGGTTGATGATAAAAATGGGTGCATGATTAACTATGATCTTTTTGAAACAGACATTCATGAAATTATTTAGGCAGTGTCTACTATTTGTCCGGCGACCAAGTCACATGACCGCCGTAACAAAGTGGCGAGAGATTTCTTGTCGGTCAGCCTTGTCACGTTAACTGCGAATGATTCAAAACTATTGTTAATTTTAAAATCTATTCCTCTACCAAGTAATGTACTGAGTATCTTGAATGCCAATAATAGAAAAAACTTAAGTGAAAGTGGCTGGTAAACATTTTTGTTTAGTATGTTATTTTAGTTAGTGTACCAGTAATCCATCAAATAAATTAGGGGCCAGTGTGGAGTAGGCAACCAACAAAAGTAAAAGATTTCATTTTAAATTGTTTAAATTGCTACAAAATATTTTAAAAATTCTCATGAAACTACTGTTGCTGATGAACATGATAATATAAATATAGTATAAAATATTTTGTATTAAAATTGGAAGAAAAAAAAACGAACTTATCCCCGATATTGATCCTCAATTCATATTAACGTCAAGCGAACCACTTTACCAGTAGACCACACAAGATCTACCGACATGCACTTCGTTCGAAATTATAATAATAATAACTACTAGCCGTCCGGCGGTCACGTGACATGCCGCCGGACCTATATCTTGCGCACTATTTGTCCGGCGCGCCAGACGTGTAGACACTTCGTATAATTTATGACCTACTGTTAATATTGTTATTATTAGTAAAATATTAGACGTAGACAAGGTTGGACTGGTAAGAATTCCTGTGGCAGAAATAGCTAGTGATATCCAAATTTCTTCCGTTATGGCCACGCGGCTGGTAGCACCAATATCATATTAAATGTGAACTAGATTTAATTCGGCCACAGCTGGTTTTTCAATCTGGTAGTTAACCCATTCAATACAGGGCGCTCAGAAATTTTATCATTGGAAACCCCAGCCAAAGGGAGAAACTCCCCCCTTACCAGAGAAAGGTGAAACAAAAAATTAAAACAGTTATTGCATGTGATGCATGCAATCAACGTAATTATGGGATCACAAAATATGGAGGTGCAGTCCATTGCATTGGTGAAAAATACCAAACGAACTTGCACTTTAAAATTACTTAAGCTAGAAAGTTGATTCTTATTTCATTTTTTATTTGAATTTGAAGTTTGCTCTATAACTATATTCAACTGTGATATTTTAATTTTTTCTTGAATTTTTTTAAGCAAAGTACACCTACCTACCATAACATCTTAAATTTTACATTTCTAAAGTCTAAAATTACAGTCAAATAAATCTTTTCAGTTTTGTTTTAAAATTAAAACGATTTATTTACCTTTCGCAGTTCTTGATTGTAATTGTAGCTTATACTTATAGGTCTACTTTTGCAAAATTAATTAGCTATGTTAAACGGGGATACTCTTCATTCCATTTAGATAATGGACTGGTCATCATGGATGCAATCTCAAAAGTCACCATTGCACGTGAGAATTGGCTGGTCATTGGCATGCGTGGATTAACCGGAACCTGTTTTATTGTTTTGGGTGTTTTGTCATCTGAGAATCATCATTGAATCATAACTACAACCACATATTTCGATTCTAAAAAAAATGGCCGGCACTACGTACACCGCGGCGGTGTACCTAGCGAAACTATTGAATTTGGCCTGCGTACACCGCGGCGTATTGTACGATTTTGTGACGATATTATACGATTTTAGGAGTTCGAGGTTAAACATGCGTTTTATCAAGCAAATTCAAGTAGGCCTATCGTCGGCGGGCCGTATGAACTGGCCTCGCGGGCCGTAATTTGGAGACTCCTGGTCCTGGTGCATGCCTAGTCTATTCAATGTAGGCGTTTATAACAATGGCATGTTTGCTTTTCCATTATCACTTTTTACTTTTTAACTTGAGGCCCAATGGTTAGCAGTTTATCTCCTATTTAGTATTTTATTAGTAAATGGACACAGGAGTCGACAACGACGTTTTTTTTCGTCTATTTTTATGAAGTTTATTATCAGAATCAGATTATAATTATTATTAAATTATTATTATTATTATCTGTAAGTGAAAGCTAAAACTAAAGAAAGAAAGGACATGCCATCTAACTTCTTAGCCTACACTAGACACTAGTAACTGCGCTACAGTTAAAAACATGTTAACATTTTCATTATTCTAACACACGTAATTTCTAATGTTATCTAGCTCTTAATCGGGTAATTTTCTTGTATAAAAATAAAAATTAGCAATCGCTGTGTAGTCAGAACCGAAAGAGAAACAGTTTATTGGGTTTTCCCACTCAATGATTCCAATTCCTGGTCCTGTGATAACACGGTACGATAGCTCTACAGTAAGAGTATCGATACCTGAGCTTGTAAAACTTTCCGTCCAGATTATGTTATAATAGGCTTTATAACTTTGTAAATATAATTGGCTTTCTTTTTTTTCTTACTCACAAAAGTCACAATCCAATAAACTTAATATACTGGAGGGAAAGTGTGTGTGTGTGTGAGAGAGAGAGAGAGAGAACAAGAGAGAGAGAGAGAGAGAGAATGCATAGTCCCGATACTTCTTTCAAAATCATGATGATATGTTAAAATCAAATAATTTTCAAATTTGTTGAGGTAGGGTGATGTGAAAGGGGTACCCACTCAGGGGAATCATATTCATAAGATGCCAAAATAGTCATTTTTCATACTAAATATGTGTAGGCCTTTTTATGTACCTTTTTAAAAGAAGGCACCTAAATGTAGAATTTTGCTTGCCGAGACTATATTATATAGTATAGTTAGGCATGTCATGGCATGTGTAGGACTGTGTTTATGTGAATTCTTATACGAATAAAGAGATATATTTAACAACTAAAATTATTACTAAGCAACATTTTTTTAAACTTTTAAAAACAAAAACAGTCCAAAGTAATAGAAAAAGGAGTATTAGTATTAGATTCATTGTATCAGGGCAGTTCCGAACATAAATAAAAGAAATAATCGACTATTAATTAAAGTAAATTATATTACATGTTTCGGAAATTCCCGGATAAAACAAAGTTAATATTTCTAAAAACTAACTAGTCAAAATGGTTCATAATCATCGACATAGACTAATGATAGATCTCATTCGTAGAACTTAGTCACGATAAAGATTTTTTTTTTTTTAATTTATTTTCCACGACGTTTTATAATGGTGCCCCTTTTTCTGTTAGATTCAAGTGGTAAGTAGTATTAAATTAAGAGTCAATAAATAAATTAAATAGTAAGTCGGCTATTCAAAATGAAATATTAATAATATTTTTTTTAATATAAATTTCAATTAACTTGTGCACTTGGCCTTGTAGGTAGCGGTAGAGTTATTCAGACGAATGCGTCTGCTTATTGAGTCCATGGTCCATCGTCAGTGACCTCGTTTAATCAAGTAAGTGGATATCTTGTTTTTAGTAGTTAGTAGCCTAAAGTTTTAAGTATAAGTAGGCCTATACTATATGTTATATGTAAGTTATAGTTATAGGCTACTAGTACTAGACTACTTGAGTAGGCTAGTCTAAGGTTTAGAAAAATAAAAGTTTATTTATAATGAAGCCTTACAACTAGTAATAAATTATAAATAACTAGTAGGCCTACTACTCTTATTAAGTTTAAGTTATTAAGTTGGTTTAAAAAATTATAAGACTTATACTTAGGCTTATTAGGACACTTAAATTGAACCATACTCATCATAGTCATAGTCATAGGCTTAGGCCATGCCTATGCCTAAATTTATATTTTTATATACTTACATATAAAGGCCTACCACTAGACCTATCCACTATCACAACTATGTTTAAATTTAAAAATTATTAGAAGGCTTGAGGCTGAGGCATGGGATTGCATAAATTTATTGTAAGAAGTTATTTTGTGTTTTAAAGACCATTTTAATTTCATCATATTTCATGTCTTCACTTTTACTTGACTCATGATAAAACATGAGTTTCTTGCTCTCAAATAATCATGATAAATGATAATGAGATATGTTACATTATATGTAATTTTTCTAAAAAAATAAAATAAATGTTATGGCATGGAGGTGAAAAAAGAGAGTGGGATAAAATAGAAGTTTGAGGTAGGTTCAAATTTTGGCTTAAAATATTTTAAAAAAATTAATACAAAGGAGTAAAGTGGTTGTAAATCATTTCAGTAAATGCATGAAAACTTTAGATGCTTTTACTATTATTAGATTGTGCTAGTTAAGTCTAAGAATAGCCTAATCTCTTTTCTTTCATTTTTTACAGATATTTCTTTGTAGTTGTTTTTTTATTTTCTGCTAAATAAGACAACATATCAGAAAAGGGGCATCCCAATGCTGCAATTGTCACTTTACTGCTCAGTCACCTTTTACCTTCTTCATTTATAACAACAAATCCCAATTTTTTTTTATCTACCTTGAAAATATAGGCTACATACATTAATGAAATTATCTTAAAAATGCATACTGAGACATGAGCACTTTCCCTGAAAACCTAATTTTTATCTATAGTCCTAGATAGTTACTCTTAAATAAATAAGGTAGACCAACATTTTAAATTAAAATTAACACATATACTTTGAGCTATTATTTTTTGTTAAACTTATTCAGTTTGTATTTCAATTTCTAAACAAAAGTGACATAATTATTATTATTCGGAAATTTGTAGTCTTAAATAATCTAGTCTTAATTGGCATAAATTATATATATGATATAACATGGAGAAAATAAATATGACTTGAAAACCTAGCCTTTTCTCAGCAGATCTAATTTTGAAAGCTAAACATTATTGTATTATTTCATTTTCAAGAAACATATCAAGAATGGATAACAATGATAATCCTCCAAATGCAGGGAGGCATGGGAGACAACCTCAGGCAGGATTAAGGTAAAATAATACATTTATTTGATAGCTTAAGGGGCCGTCCATAAAGTATGTCACACTTTTTTTGAACATTTTTACCCCCCCCCCCTTCCACCCTGTCACAAATCTCGGACTTCCCTCCCCCAAAGTACGCCACACTTTCGAACAAATTTTAAAAAAAATTAACACCTAATTAAAATTTAATCTAAAACACACTTTTTTTGAACATTTTTCCCCCCCCCCCCTTCCACCCTGTCACAAATCTCGGACTTCCCTCCCCCAAAGTACGCCACACTTTCGAACAAATTTTAAAAAAAATTAACACCTAATTAAAATTTAATCTAAAACACACTTCATTAGTAAACTGTATTAAAATATAAAATTTCCACTTAAAAAAACTATCACATTATTAAAATTACTTTAATAGTAGAATAGTTACTAGCGCTCCTAGCGAGAGGAATCATGAACAACATATTCAGGAGATACGCATTTCATGCTATTTTGACATAAGACTAATTCAAATGTTTCACAAAATTTTTGAAAATTACTTTTAAAGCTATTAAATTCTACTAAAAAAATAAAAAATAAATTAGAAATAAAATTTTAAAAAATAAATGTGTGACGTCCACATGGCCTGACGCCCCCTCCACCCTGTCACAAACTGTCACACTTTCTTACACCCCCTCCCCCTCTGGAGCGTGACGTACTTTATGGACGGCCCCTAATAAAAATCAAGTTTTCTTTTAGTTATACATAGGCTACGTCTATCTTGATAACTTTTAAAACAAAAATGCATTTAATAAATCAGAAATACAAGACTTTTTACAGAGCTAGAATGACTCCTACTTCATGTTTAAAATGTCCATATCCATTGTTACCTTTGCTGTATTGTAACAAAAAATATCAACTTCAATATTAAGATTTGGATTAAATAAGATTGACTTTAAAAAAGGTAGTATGGACATTATAGTCTTGAAAATAGGACTAAAAAGGGAGCCTTATCTAAAATAATATAAACCTTATTCAGACATACTAATTCAAATGCCTACATAAAATCTCAATTTATGAAATAATTAATTTTAATGTTAGGCATGCAGAATTGTTTTTGGGGTGATTGCCAAAAGGTGTGCAATCCAACGGTTTTTGACAATGTTGACCATTGAAAAGTTTCTCTTTAAAAAGTCAAAGTCATTTATAAGATTGGTTTGAAGTTTTTAACTTTATTAAAATGATCATGAAATAAAATTTGCATGTAAATTTTTTGTAAAATTTTTTATCGCAAACAAGAATTTTAATACATTGTGGAAATTTACAAGTAGGTATATAGTAACTGCATCTTTCCTAAATTTCGTACAAACTTAATATTAGACATTCTAGAAAACCTACTTAACCAATGTAGTTGCTGACACATATCATAAAATCTTTTTAAAAATGTTTTGATAATGCATGATATTCATCATAAGAAATAAATGTGATTCATAACATTGAATGTGTTATATATTAAAATTAATTTTCATCCAACCTGTATTAAATTTTTTTTTTTTATAGGCAGACTGGACGTCTCCTCACATCAAATGAGATGGAGATTATGTTACTAGAAAAGACACCAGCTGAAGTCTTGACACGGATTTCAACAGCTGATGGCAGCTTTGAAAAACTCCTTAAAGAAAAGGAAAATGATATGAAGTATGTCCGGTTAATGGTCAGAGTTATAGGTTTTGCCCTTGGTGATACAAGACGGGCCCAGGAGCAGGCAGTAGTTGATCTCGTTAAAATGATTATAGACAATTCTTCCTTTCATGAGAAAATACTGTACAGCCTGCAAGGAAAGCAAACATTTGATGAAAAATATGTCAAAGCAATTTTGGTCATATTAAAATCTACTTTAGAAAGAATACCAAATGTGGCAGCCAAAGAGTTATCCTTACTTTTCATGACCCTTGAACGTATCATTGATACAAAGTATGAACATTTGATAGATGAAAAAGATGAAGTGAAAGAATTGATATATAGGCCTATGAAATTTGAGGATGATGACCAGGACAAAGAACAGGAAACATTGCTGCAAGACCAAGATGTTGATCCTAACCTCTTTCGAGGGCTCAGCGTAATTCCAACTGCTGCAGACTTTGACCCAACACAAGATATTGTTCTGCGTGCTAACAAGATTAAAGGTCGCTATGAAAACATAAATGACTATCTAGACATACAGGTAAAATTGAATTACCAAATAGGTAAATAGCATGATAAGAATCTAGTAAGCTAAAAAAATATGTGCTTTATTATTTTGTTTCATTTCATAAAATTAAGTATTTTTAAAAATATAATGTTAATTACACCACAAATTTAAATATAAGGACATGTACTAAGAGTTTTGGATTGTACTAAAACCAAGTAGATTATATTGTTTTTTAGATTTTGTCTTTTAGCTTTATTTCTTCATCAATTTCAGTTCCGACTATTAAGAGCTGATCTCTTAATTCCTCTTAGAGAAAATATTCACAAATTCCTTGATGGGGACAAAAAACATGCTGTCAGAGCATATGCTCAAGTGAGTCTCAAATAATATAAGGCCAGCCCCCCAATATCCTGTTTTTTTTTTTTAATTTGCATTTGTTTTAGATCTTAATTTTTTTTTATATTTTGGTCTGTAGATTGTATTTAAAAAAAAATAAATGATCTTTTATAAATATGAAACATTTCTATCATTTAAATTAAATAATTGTTGTTTGTTTTGTAATTTTAAAGAACCAACCATAGCTTTCAATTATGAATATTATTTTTTTACTCAGCTGTAAAACAAACAAAAATTGATTTTTTTGGTAACTTTCTTTGTAAGAACAAGGATAATGAATTTTGCAACTTAAATTTGCAAATTTAGCTGGTTCCAACTTTAAAGTCATTGTTTAAACCTGCGATTGAATTTAATTTGTATTGCAGTTATTTATGTGTTAATTACCAACTAAGAAATATCTGTTCACAGGTTAGAATCGTTAGACCAATTTGCCACGACAAGGGCCTCTGCTTTCGTTTATCATTTGATGTCACAAAACATAGACGAATAAACTGGTCAGTTTCCCAAAGATTAAAGTTTGGCTCCCTACTTTGCCTTTCATCAGACAACTTCAACACTTACCGCACAGCTATCGTGGAGAATCGTGATCCCAAAGATCTGTCAAAAGGTTTAGTTGATGTCCAATTTATATTGAATACACAAGGACCAAACATGGATGTTGAAGAGCTCAGGCATTTCATAGAAGAGGCCAGAGACCAAAGATTTGTGATGGTTGAGTCGCCTACATATTTCGAGGCGTATAAATATGTTCTGCTTGGACTCCAACATATGACAGAGAATAATTTTCCATTCTGGCAGTACATAGGACAATGTATCAGACAAGTAAATCCACCACAATATCTGGAAGATGCTGACAATCCTACATATGATCTACGACCACTGGTGGACACAGATTATGTCATCACTGAGAATGAAGACCTGAGACCAGGGTTTAGTCCTGAAGCAGCTGCAGCTGAAGCTGTCAAGGTCCTGGATCTTGAATCCTGGCCCAATCCTAACACATTTGGTCTGGACACATCACAATTTGTCGCCTTGCAGTCTGCACTGACCGAAGAGTTCTCAATCATCCAAGGTCCGCCAGGAACAGGGAAAACCTTCATCGGTCTCATGCTGATGAAAGCCTTGCTTCACAACAAGAAATTGTGGGTGGGAAATGATGAATCAAAACCAATCCTGCTGGTGTGTTACACCAATCATGCCTTGGATCAGTTCTTGGAAGGGATCTTAAGTTTTTTTAAAGGACAATTGGTTCGAGTTGGCTCTAGGAGTAAAAGTGAGAGACTGGAAGAATATAATTTGAGAGGGCTGAGACACAGGGCTAGAGAAAATCGAAGGGTACCTCTTGACATACATCTTGCAAAACAACAGACCAGAATCAGGTTGAATAATCTTAAAGCTGAAATTCACACCGAAGCTGCAAAACTTGAAATTTTAGAAAGAGAAATAGTCAAGGAGTCATTTTTGATTGATTACATTCATCCTGATCACTACAAATCTTTAACTAATAGAAATATAAAAGGAAGTATCATAACCCAATGGCTGAAAATTAACTTAGATTTGGAGAAACTTGAAAAAAAAAGAAATGCCAGAGCGCAGAACAGGAGGGGGCAAATTCCTAACCCCAATAGACCCGGTGGTGAAGCTGCAGGAGTGGATGTAGATGCTGAAGATGAGGAGGACATGGATATCATCGAAGTCTTAAATGCTGATGCCCGTGGGGCTGAACAGCTCGAAGTTGATAACGATGACATTGATGAAAATGAAGATTTGTTCGCTGAGCTCCAAGAGAATCTTGGAGAGGACTTTATGGACAGCGTAAGAAATGTCAACAAAAGACTGGACGATGCTGATAAAGAGGCTATAAGAGTCAAGATAGAGAACACAGCTTTCAACATAAGTGATTACGGGGATGAAGACATGCCTTTAGGTTTGGGTAAACGAGAGAAAGAACACTGGAGAAGTCTTGTTCCCATTAAAAGGCACTACAGAGCAATACTTTTGGGTCACCTTCAAAGAACCGATAGAATGACTGAAGAAGAAATACGACGAGTTCCTGATGTGTGGAGACTAAACCTGCACCATCGATGGAGACTTTATCGTTATTGGGTTGATTTATACTGTAGGAAAATAAGAGAAGAAGTCAGTGAAAAATCACAGCAGTACGAGCAAGTGGCCAGGAGATACCAAGAGATCCTGCACCAGGAAGATAAAGTGATCCTGGAAAAAGCCACAGTTGTTGGTATGACCACCACAGCAGCAGCCAGATATCAAGGCATTTTACGGGAAATCGGGCCCAAAATTGTCATTGTAGAGGAAGCTGCTGAAGTGTTGGAGGGTCATGTGATCACCTCCCTTACTGACCAGTGTCAACACGTTGTTCTCATTGGTGATCACAAACAGCTGCGGCCAAATCCTTCAGTTTTCAAGTTGAAAAAAGATTATCATATTGACATTTCTCTTTTTGAAAGACTTGTGATGAATGACTTTCCATTAGCCTGCCTTAGAGAGCAGCATCGTATGCGTCCAGAAATGACAAAATTGCTTCGCCTTCCTGATTTGTATCCAGACCTCAAGGATCACGAAATAGTTCAAAAATATCCCCATATTTTGAGGGTTAGAGGTGACGTGTGCTTCATACAGCATTGTGTCAAAGATGAACAAGAAAACGACTCCAGGACTTTCAGCAACCAGTACGAAGCCATGTTCCTGATTGGTTTGTGTGAGTATCTGCTACAGCAGGGCTACACAGCCAAACAAATCACCATCCTTTCACCCTATGCCGGACAGATTCACCTTATAAAAACTCTGCTGGAGAGATTGCCCAGGTCCCAAAGTACAGTCAGGAAGATGAAAGGCCTGAAGATTTCATCTGTTGATAATTATCAAGGAGAAGAAAATGACATTATTTTGTTGTCACTTGTCAGAAGTAATGAAGCCAATGAAATCGGTTTTCTCAAAGCAAACAACAGAATTTGCGTGGCACTTTCTCGTGCAAAAATGGGACTGTACGTCATTGGAAATTTTGCAGGGCTTTCAGAAAAAAGCGATTTGATTCGAGAGATCACAAGAGAGGCTAAACATCTTGGATATCTTAGTGATCATCTGGTTCTCACCTGCCTGCGTCATAAAGGCAAAGAAACTATAATAAGAGAGCCTAGAGATTTTAAGAACGTTCCAGAAGGAGGATGTGTGCAAGTATGTGCCATTCGGCTGGACTGTGGTCACAGCTGCAAAAGAATCTGCCATGCAGATGACCTTGATCACAAAAATGCCATGTGTAGCCAGAAGTGCCAAAAGGTCTGTGATAAGTGCAACCAGTACTGTAACGGAAACCATAAGTGCAGTCAGCATGATGGCTGCCAACGGCTGATGAGAAAGAGGATACCAATATGTGGGCATTTTCAAAATGTTCCATGCGGTATGGAGGCCAATCAGTTTGAGTGTCAGGATCCTTGCCAAAGGATTTTGCCTTGTGGCCACCCTTGCTCAGACAAATGTGGGAGAAGACACGCCCACACTGAGGATATGTGCAAACACACAACTGAGGTAACAAGAGAAAGATGTTGTTTCTTAAGAAATAAAGAAATGTGTCCTTCTGTTAATTATAACATTTAAATTATTATTTATTAAAAAATAATTTGACATCACTTATTTTAAGACATAGCATCCTATTTACCAATCTTAACTTATCTTTAGGTGACCCCCAAATCTTGTGGTCATCCTAAATTCAGGATCGAATGCTGGAAGACAACAGAAGAGGAGTATTTCCTTTGTCCAGAACCTTGTAATGTAGAGCTCGAATGCGGGCACCTCTGCCTGGGCTCATGTGGTAAATGTTGTGGGGGCCGTCTGCACATTAACTGTCAACAAAAGTGCAAAAAGATTTTGATCTGCGGACATGAATGTAGAGACACCTGCAACAGTTGTCCCCCTTGCACGTACGTAAAATTTTTTACGACAGGCATTATTCCCTAAGTTGGAAAAAATAACATGTAGGCGATCACTAATCTCATTTTAAAAATGTTTAAAAGTAAAATGCTTCTTTTGTGCCGGTAATAATTTGACTCAAGCTAGCGCATAATCCCTATCTTGTTGAAAATTTTAGATATCCAGTTTAACATTTAATTGAATCTCATACACAAACAGACTGAACAGTTTTATAAACAAATAACATGAAATCTGATCTACTGAGATGTCATGGGCTTGCTTGCTAAAAAATAACAATGTTTTTTTTATTTGTCTTTATGATAATCTTAGGGCAATTAATTTAACTTGCTACTGATCTCATTAGTTTTAATAAAAATATCCTTCCTATGTAACAAAACATGTTGTCACACAATCAGTTTGCCATGTGAGGTTGCTTGCAATCACTCATGTTGTCCAAGACAGTGTGGGGCGATATGTACCCCATGCATGGAGCTCTGCTCTTGGGAATGCAGGCATCACGAGTGTGTTGAACTGTGCTCAAGACCCTGCAGGAGACCTCCATGTGATCTGCCTTGTCGTGAACGGTTAAGGTGTGGTCATAATTGCTGTGGTTTGTGTGGAGAAAAGTGTCCAAGGCTATGTACTATTTGTGACAAAGAGGTGAGTTAAAGCATGTGCCACAATTGAAATTGCGCCATCAGTTTTTAGATTCATTCTTAAAATTTTTTCAAATTCTGATGTACAAATTCAGAATAATTTGTTAGAGCTTTTATTCTGTTGAGTACATTGCTATTAAAACATCTCAAGAACATGAAAGGGAATCAGTGTAGATTATAGATGAATGAACATGTAAAAGAATTTAGCCGGGGAACATAACAAATGAAACAAACATAATTTCCCCTTAACTATCAGTTTAAAAAAAAATTAAGTCAGTCGCTTAAAAATATACCTCCTAAATTTAAAAAAAAATATAAACTGAAAATGCATTGGAGATGTAGCTTGTAGCTTTTGTAAAATAAAACATTTTACACAGTTTCTAGCTACATTTAACTGTTTACATCATACATTATACATACATACAGATCAAAATGTTTAAGCTCTATATTTGTAAATAGGAACTCATGGAGACCAGCCTCTATGGCTATGATGGAGATCCAACCACTCTGTTCATTGAACTTGACTGTGGGCACGTCCTGGAGGTTGACTTTGTTGACCAGTGGATGACCACTTCTACCGGAACCAATGAGGATTCAGATCAGCAAGCCATTGGCATAAAGACATGTCCACTTTGTAAGACAGCAATCCGAAAATGCACTCGCTATGGTCAACAAATTAAAGTGAGGACTGAATTAAATGTTTTATTCTTATTTTATATGAGTATTTAATGACGGAAAAGTTAGAAACCAAAACAATTTTCATTACCATTATATTTGATAATAGCAAAATATTAAAATTACAATTTCATGACATACAGGATTGTGAAAAAAAAAATCAAAGACTTATCTAGATGAACTATTATTGGGTTAACTGTTATAATCTAGAGAAGCATTCCCCAAATGATGGTCCGCAGAACTGCACTGGCGGCTAGCCTTAAATGGCCAGTCCCCTCAACATGAATATTTGTTCATCAAATAAAAATAAAATATCATTAATAAATCTGGCAAGGGTGCTGGTGAAATTTAAAAACTTGTCTACCAGTCTTTCAAACTTAAAAGTTTGGGACGCGCTGATCTAGAAAACTGTGTACATTTTTAAAAAAAAAATTGTGCAAGAAGCAGGATAGAAAATATGTTGAGTGAAGAATTACTTCAGGGTGCTTAACCTAGGCTTCTCAGACCATTTGGTGTAACTTCAGCTATGCTTAATGGGTCATTAAATGAAGGAAAAATCCTAACTAAACTATAACTATTTACAGGTTCATCTGGTTTACTAGAATACAATCAAGGATTCATGAAATTAACAAACTCTTCTGTGACTCTGAAATGTAGGGCCAATGAGCAGCAATCAAATATGAAAAATAAGTGTTTACTCCTATTTAACTTTATGCATTTGAGAGTGAAATGTATCATGTAAATTTATTAATTTATTCAAATGTAAAATACATTTAGTCATGGTAGTTTTTTAATTTTTGCCCTTTTTCTTTTAATAGAGCATGCTGGAGCTCATTGAAAAGGTCAAGCGGAAGTGTATTGGAGAGAGGAAGCATGAAATGGAACTTCAACTCTTCCAAGCTATCGCAAAAGCCAGGGGTCAAGAAAAAACTGAGATTGACAGGTTTCTACAACAAGGTAGGCATATCATTGTAAAAATTGGTATCTTGTATTATTTTTCTTCCTCTTCCTTTCTATTACTCTTTATTTAGTATGTAGGTAAAAGTTATAAATTGGGTAAAATTTAATTTAAATTCATGTACTCAGTCAACAACTTATGTAAGGCTTGTATTTGCTCGATTTAATTAAAGCTTAACTACTCTTGTTAAGTAACTTACAAAAAAACAACTTTGTGTCTTTAATCATCCTCAAAATAGCATGCAAGATGCAGTTTAACATTATGAAAAACCTAAACATAAATAAATAAACAAAAATTTCAAACACAATCATCGGGATTCACATTCATATGCAACCCTCACAGGCAAAGTATTCAAAATAAATTAAGGAATATCATTTTTAGAAACAGCCACAAATAAAATTTTAATCACTGAGCCCAGTTTGATAAATTATTGGTTTATTACTAGGTTATAATGAGACATTGTCATTGATACCCTTACACACCTAAATCTCCTCCTGTAACACCAAAATTATTTATTTCATTATTCACCATCTTATCTTAAAAGAATCTCCAACTAATTGAAAAATCAGAAAGAACTACTTTAATCGAGAGTGATGGACTTTTTTCATCATCTTAACTCTGACAAGACATTTTTTCAACAATTGTTTTTGAAAACAACAGGAAAGTTCTTACCAATAAATAATGGCAGTTAGTTTTAAAATGTTAATACCCTTTGCTGTAAACTATTTATAGACAGGAGAATGGTCATCTGGATTAGGGTTCCCCAAACTTTTAAGTTTGGGTGACAAGTTTTGAAATTTCATCAGAGTAATTATTTTTTTTTCTTTTTATCTGTCCATAAACATTATTGATGTGCAAATGGCAATGTAAGGCTTGTGGACCAGAGTACGTCCGTGAAGACCACTTTTGGGAAATGCTGATCTAGATTATCGGCCAGAACTGCATCAAAAAATCAGTGTGACATTAAGCCACATTTAACTTCTAGTTAAAAAGAAATTTAATTTCTATACCCCAAGCATCCTATTTTCCTTGAGTAAAACTTAACACATTTTTATATATTAGGTTTTATACATATTGAAAATTACATTTTTCAACATCACTCAGGTGACCAGGTGTTGTCAGAAATTATTCTAGAGGCTCAGCTCACCCAAGTGAACATGTTCCATGAGATATTTGCATTGAAGCGAGTGGCAGAAGAATGCGCAGGCAGGTCGGAAAATCCACCCGCAATCTTCAGGCCAATCCTTACAGACTTGAATCATTTCTCAGAGTGGATTCTACAGAGAAGAGCAATTTTCTCAGAGCAGAATAAGCAGGATGCAGAGGATGAGATTGACAGGTTAGGTCTTCTGATAGATCTACAGAAAATTGAGATGAACGCAACCATACGGGGTATTTGTAACACAGTACTTGCGCCATACCTTGACAAAATGGAACGATGCAGAAAGTAAGTACACTGCTTTTTAAGAACCAATGACTAATTATTTTATAAAAACTTAATATTGAAATAATAATTTTATACAAATTATTTGACTTTTAATTTATTTTAATTTCAAAGAGTTAACTGTTGATGAAGTGTAGCAAGCAGTAGTAAGCAACAGTAGTAGGCAGTAGTAGTGCATTTATCAAAAATGGATAATACAAAGGGAGATACAATCAATTGTATGATACAGAAAACTAAAAACTCATGAAAATCAAAGGGATGTAAATTTAAAGACTACTGGAAGTTATCCCTTTTCCTTTTTTTTTTGGCAGATTCCTTTTACGTTATGGAAAAACTGGCAAGACAATTATTAAAGAAAGCAAAGCTTTATGTGAAAGGCTGAGAGAGCTGGTCCCTGATACACAGCTAGCTCTTAGTTATGAGGAAAGGATGACAATAATAAGGGCAGTGAATGTCAGTGCAGGGGCATGGTACTCATGTCCAAATGGTAAAATATATTTAAAATGGAGTTGTCCCACTATTTATTCTTGAAGTTCAAGTTTATAAATAGCATCATTGAGATTGAATTCTGTCATTTCGGTTACTGTTTTTTTTTTCCCCATTGAGTTTATAATAACGAAAACTCTTACTGCACACATGTTTCAGTGTAGGTTTTTTAAGCCACAATTTGTTTCTAGTGCTCTTGTTACAAAATAACAGCATAATTCCAAGAGGTATATACTTTATACTTATTATTTCATATTCAATCATTTTGACAAGTAGGATTCTTTAGAGTTTTTTTAAGCACAAAAGTATACTATTTTAAATTATAAATTTTCCCCCTTTAAAAATAAAATAAAAAAGATAAAATTGGCTTATTTTTTTTCCCCTGACCATTAACGTCATTAAACACGATGTTTATTTATTTCTTATTAAGGACACATTTATGCCATTGGTGAATGTGGCCAAGCCATGGAGGAGTCAAAATGCCCCGATTGCAAGGCGAAGATTGGTGGAACCAATCACAACCTACTACCAAATAACACATGGGCTCAGGATATGGATGGTGCAGAAAATCCAGTCTGGCGTAACGTCAATGCGGACAGGGACCTGGCCGAGAGAATTCAAAGACAACTCAATGGAGGACTTTAGAGATAACATGTGACCATAACGCAAAATTATAATATATATTACCAGGTATTGCTGTGATACTATTACTCTATTTATCTGAATGAGTATCCAGATTTTGATGATTTTCGTATCATTATTTTGTGGCATCTTGTTAAAGTTGCAGCCATGTTTTAAATGCATTTCAGCATTTGTAAAAGCAAGTTTAACTAAGGGATTCAGTTCAGTGTGTCAATTTTTATAAGTTAGAGCATTTGGTAGAATTATTTTAAATTTTAAATGACTTTTTGATGGTTTTTATTAAGCTTGTGCTCCTTTTTCTCCTTTAAAGTTTTTTAATTTACTTGGGTGGGTGGCTTTGTTTATGCCCTCCATGATTACATTTGATTCATTTCTAAAGATAAAAAAATTAATTTGTCATTATTATCAAATATTGTTTAAAAATGTTGTTTTTCTATTTTTATTTCAATTCATGATGCTTCTGAATAAAATTGATTATTTCAAGTCAACAGAGCACCGTAAAAAGAATTTTCTATCAATGCTTCTACTCCTACTACTAAATGTAATGGTAATAAAGAAACTTTACTTTTTTCGTATGCATTTCAAAAAAGTCATTGAAAACTAGACATTGGAAAAATGATTAAAAAGTTATTTTAATGAAAGCCAATCCTTCACTGCTATTTTAAAAATCAAATAAGTTATACATAATGAGAATTTCAGTTGTATACAATGTCATTGTCGGCTCTTGCTAATGAAAGGTGTTGGTTGATTAACTTCTAAATTTTGATCACAGAAGTAAGAACACTGTGAAGTTTATTTACACTTTAATAAGTCTTCCAGATCAAATTTAGCACTGATCATGGCTCCATAGGGCATGTAAGAAAAGAATTGATGCACTGCCTGACTTTCTATTAAAACTGTTAAAAAAAGATAATTTAGGAAGCAATTTACTGATTTAGTGTTAATCAAATAGCTCTATTGAAGATCTACTGGCACTTGTAGCAGAGGTAGCCTCATAATAACAACATAATTTACAGTATTGTTATTTTTGTATTGCCATTTTGATTTCATTAATTTTCATTTTATTCAACACATCTTCATCTTTTAAATAATTAAAAATTATTAGATTTATTAAAATTATTTCATGTTTACAAGAAAATACAATATTTTTAAAAGGTATTTTCAGTTTCCTTCATGTATCTTATCAATGATAAATGCTCCGCTTTTTATCAATAACCTTCCATTGCTTGCATATAAAAAGAACACTATTTAATCATTTTTGTCAAATATTTATTAATGGAAAATGCCAACTTTTAAAAAATTTAACACTACTTACATTTAAAAATCACAATATTGTTTTTGTGCATTAAGAAATGCTAAGTCATGATGTCATTGCATTGCGTTGAGGAAGTTGTGTTGTGATTAATTTAAGCCTAGCCAGAATGCAAAGAAGCTCTTGAAAGTATAACACTAAATAATTGTTGTTGTTTTTTAAAGACCTTGACCCCCCCTGCTCTATATGGCTGTAATCATGATAAACATGATAATTTTCCTATCTTTTAAATGACTTAAACTGTGGTTGTGAATTAAATATGATTTATTTTCTGCAAATAAAGCCAAATTATTAAGGTACAATACTGGTTATAAGTATTATTTAAGCATACACCATGTTTCAATTTTAAGAACCAATATCAATGATAAAACAAACTATAAATTTAAACAGAATTGAAATACTTGTACAATGTTCAGTAGTAAATCTATAGACAATCTTTAAATTAGCAGATTAAATCATTTTTATCCTGCAAAATTTAGACTATAAATGATTGATGAACTTTAAAATGGCAGTATCTATCCAGTGTCACATGCAAAAATAGTTGCATTACTTGACAGCCTTAAAGAAGTTAAAGGAGCCTGCAAGATACTTTAGTGAAAACAAGAACAGTATATGCATAATATAATATAGTATATTACGGTATGTACACAATTAATAAATAGCACCATGAGATGAACAACAGCTGGAGTTGTGCAGGTTATATACACCAAGCCTCTATACTGACTCATATTGTAAATTACAAAAACCACTTTAAAAAAAAAGGACATGTTTTATCACAAAGTAAACTAATCTATAATATACAAGCCTAATTATATGAAGATAATATATTCACAAGACTATCTCAAGTCTAACTTTTCTATTATGTTTTATTATGGCAATACAGGTATACATTTTACAAAAAGTTAAGTTAAATAAAAAGGATTTTCAAAAGCCAGTACTCATTTCCCCAAAAGTCTCAAATATATTGTGATTAAGGTAGTACAAAGAGGTTTTTAACATAATTATTCTCAGACACTGATTAAGTGTTTGGCATTATCTTTGCAGTAAGTTTTTTCTTTTTAATTGAAAAGTACATACCTGTAAGTGACTACTTTTGCATACCATCATGAATTTAGTATCTGTCTGAGATTTCAAACTCAACAATGTATAAATGACTAGGAAATATTGTGTTGAAATAAAGCCATAAATGATAAATAAATACACACGTGTACAGAGCTAAAATCATGTAGAATATTGAAAGAAGCCATTCACTTCGCTGGATAAGGTATCCAATTAACACGCAAGTTGTAGCACACATTTAATTATTAGATAACATAGATTTAAGAGCCTATTTTGAGTTAGTAAAAATTTAAAAAAAAAACAAACTTTTTTGTGATGGAAAATGACAGTTTGATATTGATGTGAAATATATTTTAATAAAATTATATATTTACTGCTCATTAATCTAGAACTTTACATGAAAAATACATGAACTGACTTCTGACAAAAAAGAATTGTGACAATCTCCCTTTAAACCCTTTTACAAGTTGTTACTAATGAATACTGTCAATGCCTTTAAAAATGCTTTATTTACATAAACAACTGGAAATGAGAAATCAAAATTTACTAGTACAAAAACTAGAACAATTGTATACGAATAAAACTAAAAGTATTTGCGAAAAAAGTTAATTTTACATTAATTATACATTGTCACTCATTACCATTCATATAAAACAAAATTGAGTAATGTGCTGCAATAAAATGACAAACCAGTATATAAAGTTACATGTGTATAATTATATAGCCGTACAGTTAGCTTACATCTATGGAAATATAAAAAAATAAAAAGTGATAATCATAATAGATGTGTATAAATGCAATCCCTTTTTAGATCAAGCGCATCAGTTGAAAATTTCTAACAGATAATTAGAATGTAAAGCTGTAAAGAACAATTATTTCTCTTAAGTATTTGGGATTATCACTATTTTAAAAGAAATATTTAACTTTAGGAAATGACTTTAAAAATCAGCAACAAAAATTTCTTCAAAGGTTGACTTAAAAGTAAACTTTATCCTATGCAACCAATTAAAAACTTATTTAAAAAACCAAAAAAACTATAACCTAAACAAAAATCTATAAATTAACTTATTTCTTAATCCTGCTGATTTTCTTAGACTTGTCATTGGTCTTGGCTGGAGGTGCTGCCTTTGCTGCTATGTGGCGACCATACAGACTTTTAGGGGAAAAAAAAAATACATTAGCTGCACTGTAACATTCTTTATTTAAACACTCATAAAATAACAATAGCTTAACTTCAGTTTAATTTAAATTTAAAAGGATGGTTTCAAAAATCCATGGGGCCTATATTTTGTTAATGCCAAAAGTTGCTGTTAAGATTAAAATTCCTGGGAAGGTCATCCATTATGCAGAGTAAATAAAATAAATTTTCAGAATTTTTTTTTGCCAATCAATAATAAAAATGGATTGGCAACAGGCAAGGCCATTGATTTTTTTTTATTAAACAGGTATTCTACAATAAATTTAGTTATCTGGGGATGTGTTTAACATCTGAGATTTTCCTGTAACATATCTCTTCTTCAAGATACCAAAATAAAGAAAGACGCAAAACACACACAAAAAAGTATATATTTAAATAATAATAAAGAATTAAAAAATGACCTGAATTACACTAGTGACTAAAACATAGAAGCAGCCCCATGAGGATGATCAACTAGTTTGTTACTTACAACTTGTATGTGTCAGAACGGATGTAATCAAACACATGTGATACACCAACTTGAAACTGGTCTGCTATGGGAGTCACCCAAGGGTTGTTTTCAGCTTTGAACACCTGCTTTGTCCCAACTAGGTCCAAGTTGCCTGTGAGAAATAATTCCAATCAATGTTAATTTATGACTTATATTCTACAGCAAAAAAAACAACCTGATGCTCATATCTGACCAAACCAAAAAGAAATAATTCTTTGATAAGATATAGAACATACCCATTTCTGGAGGAAGGACAGTTAATCTATTGCCTTGGATGTGGAGCTCTCTCAGCCTGATCAGCTCCCCAATATCTTTGGGTAGTTCAATGAGATCATTGTCTCTCAACACCAGCTAAATGGCAACATGACATATTTTGAGATTGGCTGTAAATGATTTGGAGACTTGAACACTTTTCAAAGTATTCTTATGCACACTTAACCAGTATACATATTCATATAAAGGAAGCACATTTAACATTAACTACATTTGAATCATTTAGTCATAGAGGGACAAAATAAAATAAAAAGAGTAATGTTTAAAATTGAATTCTTTATTGAAACTTACAATCTGGAGATTTTTAAGGCGACCTATTTCTGGTGGCAGTAACTCAAAGTCATTATCCCCCATGTACAAAGCTCTCAATGTATCTGCAATATCATTTACACAAACAAATATTCATAGCATTAATTTACAAAGGGATGAAAATACGTTTGTAATGACAGGAAGAAATTAATGATGAAAATAATACAACTTCTACAGATTACAATTTTAAAAAACCCAGTAAAGGCCATCAAAGTACTTGTTGAGGTAGGAATTTAAAAGATTATTTGTTTCACACCAAGTCTATGTTGCTTATGACATACCGAGGCAAAAGAAGTTAGCAGGAAGACTGTTTTCATTTAGATTGTTGTAGGTGACATCCAATACTTCCAGCATTGGACATGCACCAAAGCCTCTTGGAAGAGTACTCAGTCGGTTCATGCTGCAATGATCGATTTCATGTAGTGAAATACAAATTTTTCACATTTAAAAAATAAATTAACACTGTAGCATTGAGTGTATTTCTGATCAAGCATATTTAAATTCCGGAAAACCAAACTTACATATAATACTGGAAATCTGATCTATTGCAGCGTAAATTTTTACTTCTCATTGTTCATAACCTCTAATCTTCTTCATAACTAATTTTATCATATGTAAAGCCTACAGCCTTTTCACATACTTTATCTCTCAGCACTGCAATTTTTTTAGCACTGTACAGAGTAATAGAATAAAAAAGTCTTATCTCTTACCCAACATTTAGAATTTTCAGCTTTGGCATTGAGCTTAATGTTGTTGGCAACTCCTGAAGAAAAGAAGGAAAATTGACAAGTCAAATAGGATATAAAAATCATCCACAAGTAAAGCAAAATATAAAATGGCAGTTTTATAAAATTTAAATACTGTTTTCATAAAGGAACAATGACAATGTATTATAATATTTTAACCTAATTATCACATCGTCCAGAGGTCAGCTTGTTTATTTCTAATAAATAATATCATATATAAATAAAAACAAGAAAAACGTAAGATTGCTTATTGTTACCTCAATTGCATTGTTGAACAAAACAATAATCTCAAGATTCAGAAAATTGGCAATATTAGGAGGCACAGCTGTGATAGAGGATAAACAAGGCTTAAAATTCAAATGGACTCAAGCTATGATGATGAATATAAGCCATATTTTTATTTGCATTATGCAGTTACAAGCCCAAAAAAGATTAATGAATAATTTTTTTTCCCCATCAATATACATTCATTTTTTTAACAAAGAAACCATAATATTTCTATTACAACACCTTAGAAAATAACTTGTGTTTTCCAGATAGATACAGCTCTGTCTCTCATATACCTTACTGATATTGGTTGTCTTTTATGTTCTCAAAAGCTTTGCTCTTTAACTTATTCAATGCACAATGTTACAGTAGAACACAGAACTGTACCAGCACAGCATCTATCACCTACAATAACATCAAATAATATACACACATACATCATTTTAAAAAAGTACTTACATGTGATTTTGTTGTGAGCTAAAACCAACTTTGACAAGTTTTTCAGATTCACTGTTATTAAGAGACAAAAAAAAATTCAAATAAGTTTAGCAAGCAATGAAAGAGCTTAAATGAGAAATCCTTTAGTTTTTCATTAGAACAACTCCTAAAAACAATGAATATTGATTAAAATTGTTTAGCAAAATATATAGGCCCTTTATTTCCCAAGAATGAAAAAACTAAACATACTCTAAAATCTGCATCAGTCATAAAAAATTGTTTTTCACCCAACCAAAAGAAAATCATAGAATTGTTCTGAATATTTCTTACAGCTTTTCCAAATGGTCGCCAAGTACTAGCAGACAATCACCTTGCCTCTCAAAATTTTCTTCTAGTTTAGACCTGCATCCTCAAATTCATTGTCATTAAATTTGCAAAAATTTCTAATTAGAAATGACATGTGTTATGTCTTTGGTTTGGAGTCAGCAGCAAGAGAGGCAAAAGTTTCAATGAACGTCATGAAGCATCACAAACAGAAACATCATGGAAGCAGCAATTACTGTATTCTTCTCGGCAAAGTGTGTCAAGAATAGTCAATAACTGCGTGTGTATGCTAAAATTTATTTATACCAAAAGTTTGTGATAAATTACACAAATAATAATCAAGACATTGAGCAGCTACCTCTTTTGTTTTTATTAAAAGAATAGCAAAACAAGGTTATTAGTCTTCAGCTCAGTTGTAAAGTTCATTAAAAAACTTTACATGTTTTATATATTCAGCCGAGTGTCTAGCTAACTTTCAATGTATAGTTAATCATTGCTGCATCATGGTACTTCTATTCTTAAAATAGATCATACATCATTTATCTTTTGTGTGCTTTGTTGTGAGAAAAAAGGGCAAATGTTTATCATCGAATCTTCTTTGTTACTGATAATGAAAACCAAATACAAGTCCTAAATCTTTCTTTAAAATTTATAATTTAAAATGTGTTTTGAATATTAACACCAGCACCCTATTTGAGAGTTCTAGCGCCCCTCTAATATATCCCAAGACTTTTAGTGGACACCTGGGAAACAGCATAACCCCCTCGAGGGTGGTACTGCCACTTTGAGAACCACTGATTTAAATTATTAAAACATGTGTAGCCAGATGTTCATGGCTTCAATCCAACTCCATTTAAACACAGCTCATCAACTAAATTTCACTATGATAGATTGTTAAGTTGTGCTGGCAGCATAGTGTGTCACTCGGCTAAGGCATATCAAGAATAATTAAATTATAAACAACACAAATTATCAACTTGGTGTTGAATGAATAATAATCCCATGTTGCGTTGGGGGATAAGCGAAAAAAGCATAATACCAGTTGGGAAGAGCACAATATTTTCTTCCTCACATTTGACCAAGCCTAAATTAAGGATGAACGAAGCCTAAGCCTTAAGCATAATTTGGGATGAACATGGCAACTTTATAGCATCCCTCAAATATGCAGTAAGACTCACTGATGCCTGAGGTCGCACCTATCCATGCTGTGCACTGCCGTCATTGACATATATTAAATATGTTTTAGATTACATTGTAATCTGATGACAATGATGTGTTGTCTGTGAAAGGGTGGAAATGGCAAGTATAAAAAAGATAACAAATGAGCATTAAAAAAAAAAATTTAATTTGTATCCTCGGAAACCCAATTATAAACAGAGCTCATTTCATCCTACCAATTCAGTATGTAACTTAAAGGCCTATATGACATTCGGTCAACTTACACATTACGGGTTCCCTGAATTTCTGTGGATGAGTGAACTCCCCTTTGTTTAGTCACAAATTATTACTAGAGTGAACTATTCTCTTTTTTAAAATTAAATTTTCTGACATCTTTTGAATTTTATTTCCAATGGAACCAGTAATAAAGTGTTGTGTAAAAATATATTCCATTAAATTGTAAATTGGGATTTCATTCAAGTACGGGCCATACTTATGGTCATGCACCAAGTGGTGCAAAAAGTGCGGTAAATTATATATAGGATAGACAGGTCGCCGCCTTGGAGACCGGTTCAGAGAACACCTCTATAACATAAATAAACAAGCTCTCTGTCTGGTCTCCAAACATTTCAATAGCCCTAAACAAGATGGTATTACGGACATCGCAGTTACTAGTACGCTCTATACTAGTAACACTACAGATAGAATCTATATGGAGAATAAATTAATAACAAGATTTGGTACGTTGTCTTCATATGGAATAAACCAAATCCATAATTTTAATTAACTGCCATGTCTTTTTCCTGTTTGTTTTTTTACAATTATGGTCAGATCATTTCCTTTTCACTTCTCTTTACTTTGTTTTTGTCTGGTTTTAGCGCCCTCTCCTATTTTTTTTCTTTTTTAGGTAGGATATGTATATTTATATTAAATAGTAAATTAAATTTATACTTAGTTAAATGTTTTTTTGTTTGTACCGATGAAGGCATGTGCCGAAACGTTTACTTGTTTATAATGTATAATTATTATTAAAGCGTAACTTATATTGTTATATTGACACAATTGGTTCGTGTCTTATTAATCTATTTTAAAGCTTTATTGCAGTCCAACACTTTTTATAATTAGTTAATTAGGGATACTAACTTCTTGAGTTAAGGATACTAACTTTCACCTAGGACATTTCGCATTCAGGTTAGGCTGAGTGATATTATGTCCCTAAATTTTCATTGTGTTGATAAGTAATTATAACAAACTCTCTCTTTTCTCCTCCCTATTTTTGCACTGCTTTCTTTGACACAGCCACCTACTCAGTTATATAGCACAATACTAATAAATTTAAATACTTATTACTGCCAAGCAACCGAATGCAAGGAAGAAAAAGAGACAACAAATTATTTTTTTTGATCCAGATAACGCAGATGTCCACACACAGAATGTGGAAAACGTGAATGCTCAGAAAGCATAAACTGAAAAGACAGTTTGGCACAAGAAGCGCCGGTGATCTTTCCCCTTCTTATTTACGTGGATTCATGTACCACAACCATTTTCGTGGTAATTATATTTTTTTAAACTTCATTGTCAACTTGGGGGATAACTATGCATAATTCCATTTTCACACATTATCTTCTATTTCAAAAAAATTGTTATAGTTTTTCTATTTTAAAAAAATTGTCTATTATTATGGGAATGAATATGTACAACCAATGTCATTAAAAATAATATAAGAATAGTTGTTTAATTAGCCCTTCCAACCAGGAACAGCTGGATTTTTTCTTGGCCGACACTCAAGTGGTAGATTATCGAAAATGAAACACCAGCAACAGCGCTTGGTTACTCGGTTGTGGATGGAACACTGCCCTACTTTAACAGGCTAGAAAACAACATAAATAGCATTTTAAACTGTTACTTATTTATTATAACTACTAATAAAATAAGTATCAATCAATTGGATTCAATTAATTAATTGAATTTGAATTTTCACTTACCAAATCCTGGAATTTCAAGAATGTTTACGATGCCTTTATCAACCAAATCTAATTCTGTACTGTTTCCTTCTTTGGTATCGTCTACGATTTTCTTTAATTTACCAGCCATTTTATTTCAAAGATTTAAAGTTGAAACCTAATTTTATATTTTATGAGGGTTTTTGGTCTTGAAAGTTTGCAGTCTATGCCTTTTTATGGAGACCCGGAAATAGAGGTATCATTAAGATACCGAAATAAACAAGTTGTCCTATATAATTCCAAAATAATTTGTTACAATGCATATAAAACATAAGCCCCTCACAAGTTATTGATTTTTTTAAAAATTAAATGTAGTTTAAACAGATGAATATGATTTTCCATTTAATTTCTGCTAACTTTTAAGTTTTCCATGATCGAAAAATGATTTTAGAGTTGAAAGTGTGTACTGTAAGTGTTGGAAGAGGATAACTTACTGGAAATAATTAATACCTTAAAAATATTATTCAAAATAAATCTACTACTCTTTCTTTTAGCTCACAAAGCAATGAAAAATAATCGGTAGTAGATATTAAATGGTACATAAAACTTTTTCTTGAAAATCATTATTATGCGTATTTAAACTAGAAAGAAAATCACCGAATGGTAACTCACCATGTGTGACGGCTCTTAGGGAAACCAGCCACTTTCTTTTTCTTCTCAATATCATCCGGTTATTCTAAAACTGTGTATGGTGAGTGTCAAATTTTCATTGCGAAATTTAACGGTTGGTAGTGTCATGTATTTTGCTTGTTTATGCATAACCTGTTGGGTTTTAAGGGTTTTCAACTTAAGATCCCGACCTATTCGGTTATCTTAATCAAGTGAAGTGTCTGCCTTGCCTGCATTCAACGCGGCTGTGTAGTAGTAGTAGTTAGTAGTAGTATTAGTAGTAGTAGTAGTAGCAAAACGGGCAATCCGCTAAAAACTAAAAATAAAAACGTTATATAAAAAATTATCTAATGTCTAATTAATATGATGACCATGGACCTAGGCCTACCTGCGTCCACCTCAACAAAAAATTGCCACATGGTCTTGAGATATGGCTGTTATATATGATGTTGTCGTAAACGCTATATTATAAATTATAAATAATGATATCATAATTTGAAAAAGGGGGGGGGGGGGGAGGGGCAATTCCCAGATACTGATACCGTATTACTATGCTTAAATCTAAACAGAAACAGTTTCATCTCTCATTAAAAATATTTGACATCCCCTCCCTCAAAGACAGATGAGAAAAGCTCCGCTTAACATTCCTCTATAAAGTGCTCATGGCGACTCATGGGGCTAGTGCTGGCCATCCCAGCTAACACATATCTAACCCCGCAGAAGCCAAGTCGCTTAATCAGAGCCAAGCGCTCAATAACCACTGACTTCACCTCTGACAACTCCATGAGCAGTTACATCCGGAACAATAGTGAATGCTTCACTATGCCTCGGTGTAACACAGTTCAATATAAACAATCATTCTTCCCACAAACAATAATTTCTTGGAAACAACTGGACAATGCCGCAGTGGACTCTACATCAATCGAGAGTTTCAAGGCTGCCCTGGCACCCGCTAGGAGCCGTTAGGATAGCCGCATCGTTTCCCAATCCGTTGCACATATGCCAGTACAAGGTTGCAGCAACGTAGTCTATCAGAATCAGAATTAAATGGTAATTAAAAAATGGTGTCGCCACTGTTGCACTCTCTACAACCAATCCCTTCTGTATAAGATAAGCTGATGACATGACACTGATAGGGAAAAGTAGGAAAGACATATCAATGAAAAGCCTTTATTTATTGAATTAGAAGATGCATCTTTACAAGCAGGGCTGGAAGTTAACAACTAAAAAACAAAATCCATGACTACGTTTAGAGAAGAAAAGACGGATGAAACCATTAAAATTATAAACCATATGTTTGAAAAAGTAAATCAATTCAAATACCTAGGTTCTTTATTAAATAAAATAAATGAATTGCTATCAGAAATAAAAGAAAGAATATCAGCTGGAAACAGGGCATACTTCAAAATTCAGAAAATACTCCAAAGTAAAAACATTGCAAGAAAAACAAAGAAAACTTTATATAAAACTGTATTTAGACCAGCTGAAGTTGTAACATAAGCAAGTGAAACTTGGACCCTAACAAAAATGGCAGAAAACCTATAAAGCACAGGGGAGAGAAAAAAAGTTTTCTGAATATTGATGGAGAATACGAACCAACCAGGAATAGTATTGTCTTTGTCAGGATTCCATGCTTGTAGCAGAAATAAAAAAAGGGCAGGCTATGCTGGGCTGGACACTTAGACTTAGAAAGAATGAAAAAATATTGACAAGAGTGCACCACCCAAAACCCCAGAGGAAAACAGCTCTAAGGCTTTAGATAGATGGATGATGTGGAAAATGATATACAGCAGATGGGAATCCAAGCATGGAAAAGAAAAGCATCAGGAAGGTCTGAGTTGAAGGAAGTAGTTAGGCAGGCCAAAACCCTACATGGACTGCAGCACCACATGGATGGATATCTAAATCATATGTTATTTGATATTAAATAAATGAAAGATCCAGCATGTTTTTTCTTTAAAAATGCACTTGACTAGCCTACACCTATAATATTATGTTATTAATAGGCAGGCTATATAATTTAGTAAATTATTAAACAAATTTAATAGGTTATATAGGTGTATAATTATATTTAAATAATACAATACAGGCCTATGGTTGTTTGAGGAAGTTTATAAGTTAGGCTTAAGTTTAGTTGTCTGGCAAATTAGACATTTCATTTTATAAAATTATTATAGGATGTAGATATGATTGTAACATTGTATTCAATAGGCATGGACAATAAAATTCCCAGAAGTTAGTAATATTTGGTATTCTTATAAAGTGTGTTACTTGAATGCATATTTTTTCAAGCAACTTTCATAGACTTGAAGTTCACCATTGCGTAACAGGTTGTTTCTAGTAAAAAATAAAACTTTAAAAGCGTTAACAAATTGTTTAACAAAAACATATAGGCCTACTTGCAATATAAAACCTAGAGACCAAAGGTATTTTCTTTTTAAAACTTATAGGCTTATATTGCTTGTAACTTATAGAATTATATAGTATTTTTTGCCTTATAATGGATTAAATCACATTCGCATAGGCCTACAGTCTACAGATAATAATAAAATGCAGACATTGAAAGAGTTCCAGACTTTGACAGGGCACTCAGACAGAGCCTGGTGTGTATCTTGGAGTCCCAGTGGAACACTTCTTGCCTCCTGTGGCGGGGACAAGACCATTCGCATTTGGGGAAAAGAAGGTTAATAATTTCATGCTATCAGTGCTTTAAATACATTGAAAATATTTTTGGGGTATATGGTCATTACATAACCTTATCTAAATGCTTCATTACATTTTGTATAGGATGGTATGTCAGACATGTTTACCCTCAAACTCTTAAAATCGAACAATATCATCATAAAATCTTTCAATACATTATCTTAATAGTAACAAATAAACATACTGTATATATAATGTACACACCTCAAAATCATAAATTGTACGCCAAAATCGTAAGAGTAAACAGGTCTGGTATGCTTTGGGTTTAATAATAATAATAAATTAAATTTAATCTTCATTAAAAAAAATGTTCATTGCTTATCTTATTTAGAACATTACAAATTTGTTCTAGGTGATAAGTGGGTGTGTAAGTCAATCCTAGCAGATGGTCACACCAGAACAATTCGGTCGGTTTCATGGTCACCTTGTGGGCAATACCTCGCTGCTGCCAGCTTTGATGCAACTACAAGTGTATGGAGTAGAAAAGCCGGAGAATTTGAATGCCTGGCCACGCTTGAGGGTCACGAGAATGAGGTCAAATGCACTGCATGGGCTTGCACTGGAAATCTTTTGGCCACATGCAGTAGGGACAAGAGTGTATGGATTTGGGAAGGTAAATTCCTTTGCGAAACATGAACTTGTAGAATAGAATTTCTAGTAATGTTCATTTATTTAAGCCCACCATCCTGCCTTGTCTTCCTCACTTTTAATTAAAAAAATATATATTTAATGATTAATTGCCTCAAATCTTCTTACTTTTTGCTGAAATAACAAAGTTTGTGAAGTTGTATTTCTGGTAGTATGGTAAGGGATGTTAGAAATGTATGTACTCATTTTTAATTTGATGTTTTTATTTTCTTAACTAACTGTGGGTGTAGCAGGTATTTATTTATGAAAAGAAATTGACAAAGCCTCTAAATTAAATTCACATTTTAAGGCATACTTTTTAATTTGGAATTTTATTTTTGCAAAGAATTTTTCCGAATCAGTCTATATTTAAAACTTACTTGAATTTATCAATTATAACTGTTTGAATGATTTCCTGATTCAATACCTTACAGTGACTGCTGATGAAGAGTTTGAATGTGCAAGTGTGATGTCAACCCACACACAAGATGTCAAGCATGTGAAATGGCATCCCTGTAAGGAAATCTTAGCCTCATGCGGGTACGATGACACCATTCGCATTTTTCGTGAGCAGGCAGATGACTGGGAGTGCTGCACCACACTCAAAGGCCACGAGTCAACAGTCTGGTCCATTGATTTTGATAAATCTGGCAGCAGATTGGCCTCCTGTAGTGCAGACTCGACTGTCAAGATATGGCAGGAGTATGAGCCCGGAAACTCAGAGGGCGTGGTGACGACGGACAATATTTCCACCTGGAAATGTGTGTGCACCATTGGTGGGTACCATGAAAGGGCAATTTACGACATCAGCTGGTCTCAGTTATCAGGTTTGCTAGCCACAGCATCTGGTGATGATACAATCTGTGTTTACAAGGAGTCGCCCTCTCCCGATTCCAAGAATCAACCTCAGTTTGAGCTGGTGGCTCGTGCCAGGGGAGCTCATTCTCAAGATGTGAACAGCACAGAGTGGAGTCCCACTGAAGAGGGTCTGTTAGCATCTTGTAGTGATGATGGGATAGTTAAGCTATGGAAGCTTGAACAAGATTAGTCGTAAGTCATTTATTCTCAATGATACCATAAATTATATTGTTGTTGCTTGAACTTGAACGATTTAAAAAAAAAAAATTAAAATGGAGAAGTTTCCTGAATTCAGGTTTTGAGAAATATATAATCTTTGACTTTAAAAAAAAAAACAGCAATATTTGAATATTAAAGTAGAATTGCCTCTATGGATCTTGTTCTCTCCAATTTTGTTTTAAATGACTTGATTTCACAATCATCCTTTTCACTCAACTGCTTATGTGTTTAATGAAAATGTTTGGTCAAAATATAAACTGTCTGATTTTTTTTTATAAGGGGCCATCCATAAAAGACGTCCACCAATTTTTTGCTATTTTTAACCCCCCCCCCCCCTTGTGTGGACGTCTTTTATGGATGACCCCT